TAGCCGCTAAAGTCCTGCTACTTTTTTTCATGAAAAAATAACAGCTAATCACTGTGGATTTATAATAGTTAATATAAAATTTTTTTATACATTTAATTTATATATGAAACTGACAATTAATGCATTTCAAAATACGTTTAAATTGCTCAGACAGTATTTTGTCCGCAGCATTGCGAAATAGATTACTATCGGTAGTAGCTAAAAAGATTGCGAAACAATGAATGCTGGTATTATGTGCAATTATGCAAAAATTATAAGAAAATTACAAGAAAATTTAATTTGCAAAATTACAAGAAAATGATAAGAGAAAATGTTTACTGCCAAATTCATTTTTTGAAATGGTCGAAATTACTAATTGTCGGAAACGATTCAAACACTTTTTGCTGTAACTGGACCTTTCCGAACCTCTTCTTTTTCTTATAATTATTCCCCTGTTTGGTTTTCTGACCCAAAAAAGGTCTCTGAACTTCAAGCGGCAAAATGACGACTTATAGGGCTGCGTTTGGAAACATCACTCGAGTGCCCTTGTGTATCGTTTTATCCTTATTATTTACCCAATGTTAAATAAGGATAAGATGATACACGAGAGCACCCGGGTGATGTTTCCGAACGTTAAATAGGAAGTCAATGTCATGCAGAGTGAGGAGAGCCGCTAGCTTTTGACGCTGCGTGAAATTGGATTTTTAAAAGCAGAGTTCAAACGCACTTTGAAACGCATTAATTGTCAGTTTCATACATGAATGAAATATAAATTAGGGATTTGTCGCTCTATGAAAAAGTAGCAGGACTTTTGCGGCGTTTTGTCGACGGTGCTTTTGGAGGAAAAACGTATCACGAAGTGGGGATAGTCGCTTAACTGTAGCTAGCGCTTTGACATTGCGTGAAAAAAGCGCCTTAACTGATGATATAATGTTTGCTGTGAAATTCGATAAAAGTAGGGTACAACTTTCACTTTTTCGCGATTGTTCACAGGTCTTTTTTATTTCTACATTTTTGTATGTTTTTTTTTATTGAAACCGAAAGTTATAATAATGATGGTACACTCAAATAATTGATACACTGAAATAAAGTTAATACAATCCTTATTTACATTACGAAATTATTACGAAATCGCTACCAGTTATATATGCTTTGATCATTTAAAAACTAATTTAAAGTTGGATCAGCAACTCTTTCTGAATAAGTTTTTAAATGATTGAAGCATAATTGTCAGTCATTTCGTAACGATGTGATGAATAAGGATTAATTAACTTCATTTCAATGTTTTAAATTTTTCCTTGAGTGTGATATTATTATGATCATGAAGGAAAATACATAAGAAAATGTAGAAATAAAACGATTCAATGGTCGCGTAAAAAGTTGTACCCTCATCCCTTACTAGATTTTAATAATATTACAGATTAAAATTAGAACTTTTGGACGTGGCAGAAAAAATAAATTTTGAGGATAAATTGAAAAAACAGATATTAATTCAAAAGAAATACGCCATTATGGAAAAAGCAGAAACAGAAAAATATTTAAAGCTGAAAGAACAATATGTATGTCTTACATATCTATTTTCAATCTATAATATATGTAAAAATCTTTATAAATTATTTATGTTGTTATAAAAATATTATTGTTTGTGTATCTTTCATATGCTCGTGATAAAACAATTATTTAACATTACAGAATAAATACAAATTAAACTATCAATTAATTCTATTGCTCTGTATTAAGAGGAGAGTTGAATTTTTACAAGATAAGGAAAAAAAAATCAAATTGCGAATAGATGAGTATCTACACAACAAAAAGAATTTGATAATTTTACTGGAAGATACAAAATCACAATTTAAGTTCTTATCCAGTTCCCTCGAAGATATTGAACAAGATATCCTAAAAATGAAAAATACTATTGAACAGAGGAAAACAGAACACATTATTTTCAAGGATAACATTTTATATTGGCAGAAAAAACGTGAAAGCGCTCGCATAGCTCTAGACAGTGCGAATAAAGCGCGTGATACTAACAAAAGAATCATCCAAGAATTAAATAATGAGTTAGAACGAATAAACAACGAATTAACAGAATTAAGGAAAGCGTCACAGACGACCACTATAGAATTCAGTAACTCTCAGGTATACTGTACTATTGTTATATCTGTTAGCACTTATATAATATCTGTAAATCTATAGTATAATAATTTAGGAAAAAAATATTTTGGTGTTTTTACCATTTTTTATAATAAATTTTTACTTAATATAACAATTTATACGTAAGGTTAAACGTTACATGGAATTGACGAACAAAGTTGAATTTCGAGCACATAATTCTATAAAACAAATAAAAAGCTTGATGCATGATCAGCAAGAAGATCAGGCTAAACTTGATAATGAATATAGACGTAAAGAAGAATTAGAGGACAAAGAAAAGCAGATAATATTAAAGAAAGTGAATCTTGAAACGCGTTTCACAAGATTGCAAGATTCAAGTATCAAATCCAAAACAACTTTAATGGAAAAAACAGCAAAAATACAAGAACTAGATAAAAAAATTACTGAAACGAGGAATAAATTGTTAAATCTGGAGAATGATATTGTAAAGATTACAGAGGAGCTTTCTGAGGCAGATATTGATAAGAATAGTATTTTGCATAGGAATAAGAAAATTGAAACAATCAATATGTTGAAACAGATTTACTCTGGCGTGGTATTTTTACTAATTACTACTAGAATTTAAATAATGATTATAATGGTATAATCTATAAAAGTTAATATAACTTTATTTTTTATAGTATGGTCGCTTACTTGACTTGTGTAAGCCTATTCATTCACGTTATAATGTTGCTGTAACTAAAGTTTTTGGTCAATATATAAATGCCATTGTCGTTGATACCACGCGCACAGCAATTCAGTGTATTCAACTTTTAAAACGAGAAAAAATAGGCATTGAAACGTTTTTACCACTTGATTCAATAAAAAATATAATTTTAAATGAAAGATTACGGTATGTAATTTGAAAAAAAAATTTTTTTTTATTGTATAACATAACATATAACATTGTTATATGTTACAGTGCTATAGAAGAACCGCAAAATGTTAAATTATTATATGATGTATTGAATATTTCATCACCACATATAAACAATGCGGTTTTAAGTGTCACTAAAAATACTTTAGTTTGCGAGACTAGTGAACATGCAAAAATGTTAGCATATCCTGATGATAAACAGGAAGCACATGATGTAATAATATACATATTTAAAAACGCAATAAACATTAAAAATAATATTTTAGGAACTAACAATTATACATGACGCGCACACGCACACGTATGCGCACGTGTATTAGTATTTTATTATTTTATTTATTATTACATATTAATTTTATTTATTAAATTTCTATATATTTATAATGTTTAGTGTGTTTCATTGGACGGATGTTTTTATCGTAAAAAAGGTCTAATGTCTGGTGGACTGGCCGATTTAACTGTAAAAGCAAAACAATGGGACGAACAACGAATACTAACATTAATGGAACAAAAGGTTATAAATTTTTTCTAAGATTGGTATAATAAGTGACACATAACAATTTATATAATTCGCACAATTTTTTAGGCACAATTAATGCAAGAACTCCGAAATTTATCTAAAATTTCTCTTATGCAATCTGAAGCTGATATAATTAATATAGAAATTAATGCACTCACACGCCAAAATAAATATGTGGAAACAGATATAAAAGATACTGTGTGTAATTAAAAGACAGGAATAGATTATATTTTAATTTTATTATAAACGTACTTGTTAGCAAATTATAATACATAAAATTTTCATTTCTAGGAAAACGAAATTGTTAAGATAGAGAAGGAATTAGACATGGTTGAGACAAAAAAAATTGCATTAAATGTACATATTTTTATATATTTATATATACATATATATATATATACATATACATATATAACTTAAAAATTTTTATTGATCTGTAAAGAAAGATACTTTCATTATTCGCAAAATTTTTAGCTGACAATAGCTGTAATTGATGACAATATGCAAAAAAGAAATGAAGAAATTAAAAATGTGGAGAAATATATTAATTTAATTAAGAATGAAATCTTTGTTAATTTTTGTAACGATATTAATGTGCCAGATATTAGCTACTATGAGAAGAATAATTTGCGGTATGAAATTTTTAGTTTAATGTATAATTTTTAATTTAGGTATATCCCACTAAACAAGAAACATTTCAGTAACGTTTTGAAACGTTTCAGTAACGTTACAACGTTATTGAAATGTTTTGGAACGTTTCTTGTTTACTAGGATATGTATATACATATATATATATACATATATATATACAAGAAAATAACATCGATTTTTAGAATTTATCAAGAGAAAAAAACGAGGCAACTAGAGCTTGAGCAACAATATAATCGTATCAAAGATCAGTTGCGCTTCGAAAACGAGAACGATATAGAAAGTAAATTTTCAAATAATATCTTTGTTAATATACTACCCAACAAAAAATAAGGAACACTTTCGAACACGCTCAAAAATGCGCAACATTCAGAACGTCGTAACTCGATGAAAAATCATCGCAGACGAAAAAATCAAAAAAGCATTTAAAAGCTTGAAATCTCTATTTTTGAAATCGGTAATTGATATTTCAATCCTACTGATTCTTTATGGAGCTATATACGGATACAAATGGATATCTGTCAAATCTGAACATTTTTTACAAATAAAACCATAAAAAGGGCTAATGAGAGTATAGTCGCTGTACGTTTTGCGATGAATAAGTTTATGAATAAGTCGACAAAAATGTACCACGTATTCAAAATTGATTGTTTAATTAGGTCTGACTTTTTGAAATTTATTGTATTTGACTGCGGTGTTTTTTTATAATTTTAATTAATGGATATGTTACACATTATACATAAGTATTACTGATTGTTCTTGGCCTTACGGGTGAGTCTTATTTATTGGTAATTTACAATTTTATTGGAATTATTTGGTATCGTCTATTTCCACTTATAGAACTACATCCTCGAACGTTGCCAATTGTTTTTTCCAATCTTTTGTCACGTATTGTTGATGGAAGGAGTGACCACTCTCGTGGAGCCAAGTAATGATCAATAATCTATATTATTTTTAAGTCTAAGATGCACTGATGATGGCTCGAATGGATGCCGAAACGTATGGATGTTAATTAATTAATAAACTTATTCATCGCAAAACGTACAGCGACTATACTCTCATTAGCCCCTTTTTTATGGTTTTATTTGACAATTTCGAGAGTTTTTATTATATTTATTTTTTACAAACTTTATAAAGGTCTATGGCATGAAGTAAAAATCATACAAAAATGTAATGTACAGCAGTCAAAAGAGTGAATCTTTACTTTTAATTTGGTTTTTTATTGAACGTTGAAACAAAAATGATGACTTTTGTCTCAACGTTTATTACCTCGGTGAAAAAAAAATTATACAACGCTCAATAAAAAAGCAAATTAAAGGTAAAGATTCACTCTTTCGACTGCTGTAAACCACAATTTTGTGTGAATTTTACTTCACGCCATAGACCTTTGTAAAGTTTATAAAATATTTTAAGATTTGAGACGGGTATTCACTTGTGTCCGTATAGTTTCGTAAAGGATCAGTCAGATTGAAATATCAATTACCGATTTCAAAAGTAGAGATTTCGAGCTTTTAAATACTTTTTAATTTTTTGTTTGCGATGATTTTTCACCGAGTTACGGTGTTCTGAATATTGCGCAATTTTGAGCGTGTTCAAAAATGTTCCTTATTTTTTGTTGTTGAATAGTATACATATATCATCTGTAATTATTAATGTTGTTATATATGTACGAATTTTATGTGAAAAGATAAAGTATTAAAATGGCAACAAGCTGTAGAATGTGCTAATACAGAATGGAATAAAGTGTGTCAGCAAGAACGTCATGCAAAGATTAAAGTTGAGCGAGAAGAAACAAAAATGTCGAAATTAAAGGATAATTATACAAACGTGGCAAAGGATTTGGAGGATGTGACAAAAAAATTAGCTGAGCACAAATCGCAAATTAGCGTTAATGAAAAATTATATTTGGAGGATCAGAAGGCACACATCGCTGTACAGAGAAAAATACAACAGATAAAAATAGAATGCAATATTATACTTAAAGAATGCAAGGTCTATGAGTTTTTAAAGAATCTAAAGATAAGAGATCTATTGCAAAAGACTTATTAAATATTGCATATTGGTTTGATTTCTCAATATTAATTGTGTTTAATTATTTTTACGATTTTAATATAATTATTTTTACAGATGGAAGATATTAGTATTCCAATGTCGGAAACACATAGTAGGTTAGAAGAAAACGTTTTTACAAGTAGCTCAAATTTAAGTATAGAATTGTCAGGAGATTGTGAAATATTAACAAAAATTAATTTCTCGCAATTTCCTAAAGAAATCTGCAATTTTACAAATGAAAAATTACGAGACATGACACTTCAACTTACTGAGAAGATTACGAAAATTGAGAATGAATTTGATGATTTAGTAAATCTTAAGGTATGTAATATTTATAATTTTACATAATATAATGTTATATGCTTTATGTTAGATTTGTATTTTTAAAATTCAATTCTATATTTGGATAAATATATAGATTGATGAAAAGATCGATATTATAAAGCAGCGAATGCAAAAAATAAATACGGATCTTCGAAACTACCGTAATAAATACAATGAAATAAAAATGCAATTTGAATCAGTGAAGGCAAAGAGGTACAAATCGTTTTCAGATTGTCTGGAACGCGTTACTGCAGAAATTGATCTTATATATAAAGTTAGTATTTATAATTATGTTTCAAAATTTTGTTTGTTATGTAGTTTGTTTTTTCGTACATTACAATTTTTATGTGATTTATTTTTGTACGCAGAATTTGGTTAATAACACATCGGCTCAAGCAATTATCTTACCAGATAATCCCGAGGAACCGTATGCAGGCAATATAATTTATAACTGCATAGCACCGCATAAAGGCTTTCAACCATTGCAATACTTATCTGATGGAGAAAAGTCAATGGCTAGTTTGGCATTATTATTTGCAATTCAACGGTATATCTTAATCCTAAGATAATCTTAATCCTAAGATTAATGAAACGTTTTACATGCTTTTGGATGCTTATAATTAATATACAGATAACGACTGAATGTTAAGGTCCGATTTCACAATAATAATTACCTAAAGATTAAAGGTAACCAAGAAATTCATGAATGAATTTCAATTTCATTGATGAATTTGTTGGTAACATTTAATCTTTAGGTAACCACATATTGTGAAAATGGGCCTGAGAGAGTTAAAAACATAAGGCCGCAGCATAAACTTTTGCATAATGCATAACGCATAGTGCATAAGAGAATCAGCCAATCACAATCCTTTCATCCTTTCTTTCCATTTCACGGAAAAGAGGAATTTTAATTGATTGATTTTCTTATGCGTTATGCAAAAGTTTGTGTTGTGGCCTACAATTTTAATCTTTTTTTTTTGCAGTTATAAGCAAATACCGTTTTTCATTATGGACGAAGGTGACGCGGCATTAGATAAAGTGAATATTAAGAATGTCGTTTCTTTTATTCGCTCCCAAGAAACCCTTATGCAGTTCATCATGATATCCTTACACAAAGAATTATATCGTAATTCTAATGCACTTGTAGGAGTTACTGTTAAAGTAAGTTGATTAATTTAAAAATTTTTCTCCATCGTGCATTTTATTATTGATTTCAGAGTGACATCAGCTGCTCCAACAGTCAAGTATTTGCCATTTCATTAAATGGATATCGTAAATCAAAGTGAAAAATTTAATGTCGTAATAATAATATAATATCACAAACAATATTAAATAAAAAATGCCACTGTTACTAGAGTTATCGTTATGAATCATTTATTTTTCTATATGTATATTATTTGGAAATACATTTTTCCTTTTAAATTTATTATAATATGAGAATTATAAGATACGCTTTAAAGAAATGTTTTATAGATAGAGTAGACTGAATAAATTTTTATATTTTAAATATATTGTTTAGACAAGTCAAGTTTCATCCGCTTTTTATGATTTTTGTGTAATTTTTTGTACACATTTATGTTAGTTTTATCGTTGAATATATTGTATTAATTAATTTTATTTTATTTAAATTGTATAAAAAATGTGTATTAAATTATTTATAATTTACATTAAAAGTAACACATTTAAAATTAATAAATATTATAAAATGATATATAAAATAATACAGTATCATAATGTGAAATAAAGTATCTTTGATGCAAAGTGTTTTATAAAAAATTATTTTTGTTTATTCTAATTTAAATGAACGCATATTTAAAATTATTTGCATATATCTCCCTGAGATAAATCACTGTGTGACAACATCATGCATGCACATATGAAAGATACTACAGTATTTAGAGCAATTACCATTATTTCCATGATTGCATTAGTGCTCGTATACTCAGATCTATAGTTTTCATTAATGTACATTTGACATATTTATTTTAACAGTACAAAATACTAATTGTAAGAATAAAAATGATTCAATGTTGATTGTAGAAAAGCGTATCTTAGATTTTATTCTATATATTGTTTAATAATACATTTAGATTTTGTTTAATTTTTTAAAATGTTTACTAATATTTGGCACAAAGTCAATATATTATTATATTAAAATTAATTATTTTCGAGATTCAATATTTAATAAAGAATTATTAGTTTATTAATTTTATTAATTAATTAAAATATTTTGATTTTTATATCATCAAAACAGTAATTAGAGCGGTCAAATTATAAAATTTACCCTATATTTATCTATATTATTAAAATATTATAAAATCAATTTAAAACACTTGTATTTATTGCATTTAATTATGAAGCGAGAAATCATATAAATTTGTTCTTTGCAATATATAGATAGAGGAAAGTCGCCGATATTGACATAGGTCTCTTAAAGTGACACCCCCTTATTTCTCAGAAACTAACTATTGTTTACTTTATTAATACTAATAAAATCATGATCTGTTTAGCTAATTAAAGAAGTACAAACTTATAATTCATATATTTGTGGCTTATTTCTATACCAAATCA